TCTACTCACATACGACATCGAGATCGGCAGGACTCGAACTCGGGCCGCATTGGTGAGAGGTGGCGCATTAGCAGCGCACGCCACTGGTGCTTCCCCAAAGCCTGCCTGGAAATCAGACCTGGGTTTCATTGGCGAAAAGCAGTGCATCCATGCTTCAATAATTAAGACATTGCATGAATATGTTTTTAAATTAGGCCCTCGAACAAAAACCTTAGCAGCATAAGAATCAAATATTCCATGTATAGTCACCTGCTATGATGATATCTGCCTTGACATCATCACTTAATGCAACTCTCTCCAGGAACTCTGTGGATAGATAGTTCTCCAGCTCCTTTACTAAAGAAAAAATTACAGCATGATTCAATTCAATAGTAATCTAAATCAGATTCCATTTTATTTGTAAACAGCTGAAGATGTTGTATACTAAATTGACCAACAACTTCCCACCAAGGGAAAGACTATTTTTACTTGCACACTGTATTTTTGAAGTTATTGAACCAATATAGAGCGAAGGCATTTAACCCGTGAAATATAAATTATTAGTCAACGTGTAATAGTCAAATACACACAAGAGAAAACAATGGAATTAAGGTCTACTAAAGTGTGTTTGTCTAATATCTATTTCACGGGTTTAATGACTTCACTCTAGGCTAAACTTACTCTTTTTCCATGTTTCTGATATTCGATAATATTTCGTAGACAACCGCTGCAGTTCATTTTGAACTCGTACCAGAGTATCTAAGCACTGTTGACAAGAATTATTCCAAAGCAAATATCACACCAATTTATAGAGTAAGACAATATCAATACGAGATTTTATGGTCGTCTTAAAATCTAGAAAATTCAGATTTTGATTTAGGAAAAGTGATCCTAGCTTACCGATTCGTTTTGAAATTTCTTCAAATCTTCTTCATTGCTTAARACTTTTGATTCTAGCTCGTCGATTCGTCGTTCAAGGATGGTCAACACCTCTCCCTTCTCGTCCGCCATCTTGAATCGTAAACACGCGCATGCGATCTATAATACACAGCGGTGTATAGCTTYGTTGTGACGTATTTTCGGGTCCAATAAGCCTGATGCGAGATGACGCTATAGCCCTGACTCTATACCATAATAGTTTTTAAAATTCTTTCATATTAAAATTTTTAATTCCTTAGAGAATACAGGAACAATAGTCATAATTAAAGAACAAAAGCAGTGTGAAAAGGATTATGGTCTAGAGACGGGGGTAAAACGTCATCTCGCTTCAGGCTTATTGCTTACAAAAACCCGCTAAAATTAAGCAAAAAAAGGATTTCAATGTACAAAAACAAAAARTCTTGTTACGAAGAAAAAGTAAAGAAAAGATCTTTATAGAACTGCTTTTCGTTGTGGACCCGGAAGTCGTGTTTTAATACGAGTGACGTCATACGCGGGATTACTTTAGAGCTTAGTCTCCCAGAGACTCACGTCCAAGATGGCGGATCGCAGGACAAAAGTCRCGTTACGTAACWAAATAAGAATAATAAATGAAAAATGGCGGGTAAAAAAGCACATAATACTATCCACTGGTTCCGTAAGGGATTGCGGCTTCATGATAATCCATCGTTGAAGGAAGCCTTTGAATCTAGTGTRAATATTCGGCCTATTTATGTCCTGGATTCGGATGATGTTCAACATGGGAATATTGGGGTCGTGAGATGGCGGTTTGTTTTGCAGTCTTTGGAAGATCTTGACAGGAGTTTGAGGAAACTGAATTCAAGGTATATATTTGTAGACCTTAATGATACTGTTTCACTGGAGTATTTCGGATAGAATATGATACCAAGTTCAATAAATAAGCTTGTAAAATACGGAGAATAAACAAGGACAAGAGAGGGAGAGAGTAAAGAAGTAAAAGATTAGGAAGGATAGGATATTATTATTGAGTTTAGTGAACTAAGCAAAGTTCTGACACCTTATAGCTTGTCTTTCGTGCTTTCTTCACTTCTTACGTGCTTTGTATTGCTAAATAGGGCATCAAAACATTTTTTCTTGATTACCTTGGTGTTCTCCGTCATCACAATATTCCTGTCAATTCTCTTTGTTTTCTAGGTTATTTGTGGTAAGGGGCAAGCCCACAGTCCTATTCCCAAAGCTTTTCAAAGAGTGGAATATTACCAAGCTGACATTTGAAGTTGACACAGATGGTCCAGCGAGACAACGAGATGCAGAGATCATCAAGCTTGCAAATGACGCTGGTGTAGATGTGGTTCAGAAAGTTTCTCACACACTTTACAATATCGATGAGTAAGTCATAGATTTCATGACTTGATTACCATAACCTAAATGGCCAGTTAGGCAGCAGTACAATTCTGGCTGGACATTGTCCAATGACTGGCTATTCGTTTTAGTCCTGTAGTTGGCGTACAGAGGACCATGGCCAGTGCCCTACCCCTCATAACATTCAGGTTTTCATTTCGTGTATATTAATTATCATTTGAAAAAGAAATTTAAATGAGTGTGGGAGAATATTTATTTTCCTCTGCTGGGAAAACAGAAGAGTCATTTGTTTCTACAGTTGTAATAGCATTCATTTTTTTCTTTATCTCAGTGTTTTAGGCAAGAACCTAGGCAGAGCTCCTTCAACATACAAAAGTTTTCAAGCTGTAATTTCATCCCTTGGACCCCCTGAGGTACCAATACCTACCATCGAGGAAACTGATGTTGGAGTATGTAAGACACCCATTGAAGATGATCATGATGGATTGTATGGTCTGCCAACACTAGAAGAGATAGGACTTACAGTTYCAGATGAGTCAAAGGAGGTTTTATATCCAGGTGGAGAAACAGAAGCTTTGAGAAGAATGCATGAGTACATGGCTAAAGAGGTAATCTTTATACCTTTCTATGCAGTTTTCCATGTTATGAATGGGAAATGACACAGCAGAGTCATAGCCCTGGAGAAATGGACCGTAGGGGAATGAAACCAAAAATGAAAGACTGAAAATGGCTGTTTAGGWGACGCTACTTTATGTTCTGTGGTGTACATCCAGAAAGAAAGTACCATTCATTTCCCACTCATGTGAAAACTAAACTGGTCTATGTCCTAAAATTGCAAACCATATTTTGCTTATTTGATTATATAATAGTTTACTTTCTTTCTTTCTTTGATTATGACACGCAGAATTTTTTTTTTCCTTCAAAATTTTAAAGTATGGAATCAAATATATATATTTATACTGTAAGTACCTGTATCTACCATCTTACATTTTGTATTATTTTTCTAGGATTGGGTGTGCAAGTTTGAAAAACCAAATACCTCACCAAACTCTCTTGAACCTAGTACGACAGTTCTGAGTCCCTACYTGACTTTTGGTTGTCTGTCAGCAAGATTGTTCTATGTTCAACTTTCCGACATCTACTCTAGGGTACTGTATCCTAATATTATCATTGAATTATTTGAAATACTAACAATCGATAATGAAAATACTAATAATGATAAGGAAGTCTTGAAAATTTTGGAAATTATGGAAATTATGTCATGTCTTAAGGAAGATTGACAATTAGAAAAAAAAATTGCATGAAGAAAATTTGTTAAAAAWTTTTTTTAGGCTAAAAAGCATTCCCAGCCTCCTGTTTCTCTGYATGGCCAGCTACTGTGGAGAGAGTTCTTTACTACTTGTGCCTACAATATTCCAAACTTTAACAGAATGGAGGGAAACCCTGTATGTCTACAGATCCCTTGGGATAAGAATGATGAATATCTGAAGGCTTGGGAAGAGGTATGTTGGAAATGAAATCAATGGTAAACATGGGTGGTATATACTGCTAACTAGTGTGCCACCTTACACAGGTGTGGTCGTGGGTAGCTTCCTTAGACTCTCCATCATATGTGAATGTGTTTTAAGGGTTTCCTGAGGGAACACACCCCTATATTCGCTATATGGGTATGTGCTGCCAAACAGGGTATGGTTTTCAGCGATTCTACTCTGGAACAGGGTATATGAAATCACACTCTCTCCTCTCTGGAACAGGATATCTATTTTCACAAGTACCAGAAAAGGTTTTTTAATATGCAATCTTACTCCGGAAAGGGTATGAATTTCAGGGATTTTCCTCTGGAACATGGTCAGGGCTTAGAGGGCTCAGGGGCACATCACAAATGGTCCCTGCATAAATCAAGGATGATTTAAGACACACTTCTTATCTTTTGCCATTTTCTCTTCAACCAGCATCATATCCAGACATGTTATGACTCTCACCATTGTGTAGTTTCTCTCTGGTTTTTCTCCCTCCATAAAAATCAACATTTGAGTTTAGTATTGACGGTGTGTTGTAAATAATGAATGCAGTAGTAGTGTGTGTGGAGCAAACCTCGAGGAAGAGCTCCTTACAGGGAGTGATTGCTGTAAAAAGTCTATAACTACGTATTGGTTATAAGCAGTTTTTTTTTTTGAGTACAGGCTCGAACTGGTTACCCCTTCATAGATGCTATCATGACTAAACTAAGAAGAGAAGGCTGGATCCATCACTTAGCACGCCATGCTGTAGCATGTTTTCTAACCCGAGGTGACTTGTGGATCAGCTGGGAGGAAGGCCTCAAGGTAGTTAAGTCACGTTGCTTCTGTTCTTTATGGTTCTGTTCTTTATGGTTTATTCAGTTTCTTGTCTATAATATAGGAATTCTAGTGGTTTTGCTTCGGAATAGAACTAATCCACTGTTTTCCCATTTCAGACCACGTGTCATTCCCTAGAGTATCATTTCTTTGTTTAATGGTTGTGCACGAGAAGACACATGATTAGAACCTTATTTTCAAGAGAATGACACATGTTCTGAAACATTACTACTCTTCCCAGTAGACCGAGGTAACTGTGATTTTTTAATCGCCTTCGTAGCGTCTGTTATGTTATCCGCAAGTACATTTCAAATCGACCACGTGATGCCAATGCTGCACCACGTGGACAAGTTTTTTTACACCACGTGATTAAAACTTGACTGAATTTTGATCACGTGGTGTAAAAAACTTGTCCTCGTGGTACAACATTGGCATCACGTGGTCGATTTGAAATGTACTTGCGGATAACATAACAGACGCTACGAAGGCGATTAAAAAATCACAACTACCTCGGTCTACTGGGAAGAGTAGTATGCTCAAGTGGATTAGGTACATTTGGCAAAAATACGTCAACGTAACTTAAACGTTATGTAGTTATATTGCCACACTAGGATGCCTTCCTTCAGAAAAGGACGTACTACACAGTGACAGTAAACTGGCTTCACCGTCCGAAAGGTTGCACTGTGCTGTAACGCAAAAAAGGACGTTCTCAGAAACGGTGCAGTGACACTGAAGTGGTTTCCCACTGAAAACGGTGCGTTTTGCAGTGAAACACTTGCTATTACACTAAAGCACGCTTTTCACTGGAAACGGTGCGGTTTGCAGTAACACTAAAGTGGCTTCCCACGGGGAACGGTGCGGTTTGCTGTAGCACTGAAGTGGCTCCCCACGGGGAACGATGCGGTTTGCAGTAACACTAAAGTGGGGTGCGGTTTGCTGTAGCACTAAAGTGGCTTCCCACGGGGAACGGTGCGGTTTTCAGTAGCACTAGAGTGGCTTCTCACGGGGAACGGTGCGGTTTGCAGTAACACTAAAGTGGCTTCCCACGGGTAACGGTGCGGTTTGTAGTAACACTAAAGTGGCTTCCCACAGGGTATGTACGGTTTGCAATAACAGTGAAGTGGACTCCTACCGGAAACGGCGCGGCTTGCAGTGAAATGGCTTCACACCAGAAATGACGTTTCTTCGTGACTCTAAGACAACACTGTTATTTCAAGACTACCCTTCTCGTCACATAATATAAATCAATATTCCATTATATCTTTAGGTATTCGAGAATCTCCTAATCGACCATGACTGGAGTCTGAACGCTGGCAACTGGATGTGGCTGTCTGCCAGCGCGTTTTTTCATGCGTATTTCAGGGTTTATAGTCCTGTGGCTTTTGGCAAGAAGACGGACCCAAACGGTGACTTTATCAGGTCAGTATGAACCATACGACACAAGGTTAACGTTGGGAATGAAGTGCGAGCTGGAGGATATTTCTAAACTGGGGGAAAAATCACGTCATCATTTGTCACCTCCACACGTTTTCGAAACGCAACCTTTTCGTCTCACCAAAAACGCATCGAAAGCTTTGCGTCTAAACTAGCATTTCTGTTACTAGAAATGATCCAATATCGTCATCTGTGCATGCGAAGAACAGCGCGCGAGGCTCAGACTTATCCAGTCTTGAACGCGCACTGCACGGCACGTCCATCAGTTTTTCTAAGCACAAAGAAATTTTTCTCCAAGTAGAACAACATGCTTCAATATTGGGGTTCCTCAGGCGGTGCAAGTTCTGAAATTTTGCTTGCAACTTTTTTACTGGTTTTGCAGTATTTCGTTTTTGAGCATAAAGTTAAAAGATAAATAAGTATGCTTGAAATAAAAAGTCGTAATTTATTTCCCTCGATTTTTCCAGGAAATATATTCCCATATTGAAGCGTTTCCCCGCCAAGTACATCTACGAGCCATGGAACTCTCCCCTGAACGTACAAGAGAAGGCTGGATGTATGATCGGTAAGGACTATCCTCGTCCTATCATCGAACATAGCAAAGCCGTAGCCAAAAATCTAGCGAGAATGAAGAAAGCAAGGGAAGCAAAGTATGGGTCCAAAGAAAGTAATCCAGGTCAGTTATTTTTGCTAATACTTTAATTTATTTTTGTAACTTAAGTGTTATTTATTTGTTTACTACTCTTTGAGTGCATTGTGCTTGTGGATTTGAGTTGTATCGTTTTTTTTTGTATTGTCAGATTGCCTTTGTTCTCTAGGGTTATATTGTGTCGTAAACTAAACGCGCATGATTCCTCTTATCAGTCAGGCCCTTACTCACATCATCAACTCAAAAGGTGTCTTAAGGCTCGTTCACACGAGCGATTTTTTGCGGGGATTTTCGAGTGCAATTTTTTGCGGGGATATCAAGGCAACGCAGAATCTTCCGTATGCACGGGCCTTTAGAAATGCTTGAGTAAAAGGGATGATTATTTTTAATGTTTCAGAAAAAGCGACCAAAACGTCTCCCTCGAAACGAAAAAGCACCTCCAAAGACGATAAAACTGCAAAGAAAGTTAGAAAAATAACAGACTTTACGACTTAAGCCTCTTGTTGGAACTCAATTTACACCAACGTCTTTTTTCCTTGGTTATTGATTCATCCATGAGAGACTATTAGCACGTGACACACATCACGTGACTGGATCGTGACGTCATGAAGCACTACACCCAACCCACCCCTCTCATGAAAAAATTGAATCTGAATTCATATTTAATGTTAAAAATGTACAAAGGCTTTGGATATTAATTTCTTGGTTATTGTTTATTAAAACATGCATAGTACATCCATGGTTGATAGACCTTGAAGTATTTATCCTCAATCTTTTATCTGTTTACGTCATTTCACTAATAACAGCAATAGCTTAGATTATGCCTTATTATCACCTTACTGAGAACCTCTTACTATGGTTGATGTCAATAGTCTTAAGTGGATATATATTTTTACCTTTATTCTACACTTCCCGTGGCAAGCTTAGCAGTTAACTGGCTTCACTAGAATCACAATAATAGTTCATGATTAGCTTTGACTTAACATAGCTGTTAACTTTTCCAATCAAGGGGAAAGTCAACCACTAAATCTATGACTAAATCTATGCGTTGCTCTTCACTTTTTCGTCCTGTTCCACTCCTTGTTGCTCATAAAAGTTGACAGTGACGTCAGCAGTGGTAACAGGAGGACGGGTCACGTTGGCAGGTACACGACGATTACGTAACATCTTGACCGAGAGGAGAATGGTAACGAGAAGGAAAAGTCCACCAACAGCAGACAATCCACCAATCAGAGCCAAGCTCGCCTTGGATGACCCTGGTGAATAAGACAACTAACTGTAAGTGGAGATTTTTGTTAACGTTAGTCGAGTGGTTTGAAAAAAAACATCGACTAGATCTAGAAGTGAGATCCTTGAAATCCTTGGGATTTGGATCTGCGTCGTCTTACATTCTTGGGTAAGACAACAAAATACTATATGTATAAAACTGTGGCGTGTGCCTATAACTGCTAAGTTGAAAATGCGCTAAAACTCGTAAAGTAACAAGAGTTTATTGAGGCTGTTTCTTCCAAAAATGTGCCATCTCGTAAAATATAAAACTGGAACGCATTTTTACAAGCAATAAAATCGCGAGTTTAATGCATAAGATATTTCTTTCCGATAGATATAGAAGTCTATTATTACGACTAACTATAATTTACCTTCTTCAGCTCGTTTTGCAGTTTCAGTTTTTTCGTTTGTTTTTCTAAACGGTCCAGCAGACAAGTCATGCGCATTGGAGCCGTCAGCAGTTTCTCGACGTACTCTGGATCCGTTGATACAACCTTGTGCGCACCTTGAGTTGGTTGTGTTACGATGACAGACAATCAGCTCACAGTGTAGATACACATAAAAGGAATTGGAATACACGAAACGGAACGATCTGACGGAAAAGCGCTGGACACGACTGGACGGGTCGTACGAGTAGACCATGGTTGGATCATTAATGCACCTGTAAGTGATAACCAACACTAGTTATCTAGTTATAGGAGATTTAATTATTTGCGCACATTTATTCTTGTTGGTTCCTTACCCTCTCTGTAGAAACACGTGCTGTGGGGACGCATTGGGATCATTTGAAGGCGTAGCACGACAATTCTCAGCAAACACGACCAGATCAGCGTTGGTATTCTTGACTTCATACTGAACCCACAGAGGCTGGTTTGGGTAGACAACCACTGGGTAAGCAGAAGGTGAGTAAGGTGTTGAATATCTAGAAGTCTGGTAGAGATCCATGGTGAACGTGAAGTTGCCATATGATCCTGGGAAAAAATTCGACAGCTTTAATAAGTTGATACATAGAGGATTTTACACGGTGGCGCGAAGATATGAAGTTTATATCTTCGAGTGGTGAAAATATTTTTCAACACAAGAAGATTATCTTCATATCTTCAAGCCAACGTGTAATTTTCTTATTATTATATGGACACATTCACAAACAAGAACTTGTTGCAACGCGCGTTAAAATGAGCTGGAAAACATCGGAAGTGACGTCACCGATATCTTCACGGATACCTTCATTAAGGTACCGGATGCAGTTCCTACACTACACACTAAACTACCCACCTTCAGACACATAGACTACACTACACACTAAACTACCCACCTTCAGATGCGTAGACTATCTTCTTTGCTGCACTGAAACTTGTACTGACAATCTTTTGTCGTCCGTACTCACAGTAGAATGGAATGACAAGGTTATTGCCTCGTGTAATTGTTGATCCATTTCCAGGACCATGTCCACGCCCATCATTACTGACCTAAATAGTTTAATGACCACACAAAATATAATACATTATTTTATTTTGGGCGTAACAGATGAATAGATGGATGGATGGGTGGACGGGTGGGTGGCTAGTGGATGGATGGATTATACATAATAGAATATTCTGTCAACATACCTCGTTCCAGAACGCTATTTTGTTGTTATGCTCTCTGTATATCGTTCCACAGCCATTAAGGGGAGTACGCAGATTCATAGTGTTAGGTGTTATTGTCGCTCTGCAGGATTTATCGTTCAAATGAATGTTGCGCCAGTCGACACCAGGGAAGTGTCTTTTGGTCAGGTTTATTTGCATATAGTCTTCACCACAGGTCACAGTTGTTGTCACATCTAATAGACGTTTGATCAAACGTAATATTAGGACATGTTCGTTCTTTGAACGAATTGTCATTTGGTTTTGGTTGTTGATATATGCACTTACTTGTCTCGCATTGTTGTCCGGTGAATCCATGCGGACATTCACATCGATAATCTTTGATTCCTGATCGTAAGTCATGGCATGTTCCACCATTGCGGCAAGGACTGCTGCTGCATGCTGAAGCATGAAAAGGAAGCAAACACCAATAATAATTTTCAGATTAAGATCTATTTGCTAAATACTTACGCAATCTATAGATGGCTAAATAGTTGCTCTCCAGTATTTATTGGATAAAGGTAAATGCGTTGCATAGCTATCCATTTTGCATTTTTAAACTAGTATTATCTGTCAGATTTACCATCTATTTTCTATAAACTCGTGAAAACTTTCCCTCGAATTTTAGGTAATTCTCGACTTTTACATTCCCATAATACTTTGCGTCTTTGGGGAGTAACCAGAGGGTAAAAACCCACTTATTTTGCTGAAGGCCGATCAGACAATGTTGA